GGAGAAGGAGGAAAGAGTCTGTGACCCGCTTATGGATTCCCCTGCACATACGCATCTGGGCTTAGCGGCGGGCCGTGCATTTGCATAGATTGCGTGATCATGCTATGCACGGATTAGTAGGACTTAAGGCCATGGGAAGACTAATCGTTTTGCCAGGGCACTCGTGGTCATGTACCTTGGGGTGGGGGTGGCCAGTGGCCATGAATTCCAACAGCTGGACCTTACTATGGAGGCCTCCAGCTCGCCATGTTAGGATTCTGTACATGTGCAGCTTGGGCCTAACGTCTTACGTCATCGGGGGCATATGGCCGTGAGGTCACGCAATCTCCGCCTCAAAAAGCCGCACATGGACCTCCACCCTCTCTCTCTGCGCCTTTCTTCCTGTGTTTCCTCTCCGTCAGGCCTGCCTCCCCCACCCCCACCCCCGCCCTTCCCTCCATTAAAGCTCTGAAAACTAATATTGGGTTCTTCTGCCGTGGCTCGTCCGTGGACCCACCAGAGCCAGTTCATCCTTTCACTATCCTTTTGCCTCTGCCTCCCTCATGTTCAGTTACCTATGTGGCCACCTCGGCTAGACTGATATCAATAGTTTTTTAAGAGTTCAGGCTGATCCTAGACCATTCCTCCCTTCGTGAAGTCATTAAAATGCCTTTTATATGGACACAGAAGAGGAGACATGTCTTGGGGGGGGGGCGCGTGTGGTACAGGGGTGATGTCATCGGGATGCCATGGACCCCTTGTCACATTGGGCCACTTGGTTGGGATCTCAACCCTATTTCTGAAGTGTCAGGTCACCGGAGTCTTCCTTCCTGGCTTTCGGTGGCGGTCACCCTCCTGGAGCCTGGGGGTGGAGACACTATACAGCACATCTAATCTCAGCTTGGCATGTGCTTCCAGTTGCTATTTTTATACTCATTTTGCTTCAACAACTGTCTCGCAGTTGGGTCCAGGAGAGCTGAGTCTTTTTAGTACGTTGTACAGGGGCCACTCTGCAGTCCCCGTGGCGGCCACTTTGTGGCCACTCTGCAGTCCCGTGGCGGCCACTCTGCAGTCCCCGCGGCGGCCACTCTGCAGTCCCGCGGCGGCCACTTTGCGGCCACTCTGCAGTCCCCGCGGCGGCCACTCTGCAGTCCCGCGGGGGCCTCTCTGCAGTCCCCGCGGCGGCCACTCTGCAGTCCTGTGGCGGCCACTGGTCTCAGCTGTGCTTTCAGACCCTGGCCGGCAGTGTACTGCTCTGGAACAGGGCCGGGGGCCTGAGCCTCCATGTTTCCAGTCTAGGGCGAGCCCACACAATGCTTCTTTCCAGTTTAACTGGTGCGCACAGGTTGCAAAAGCGAGGCCCACTCGCTCACAGGGGGCCTGCAAGGGCGGCCCGAGCTAAGTCTGCAGAGAACACTTAGCTTTCCTCTCCTCCTGGAGGCCCAGGTTGGTGCTGTCCACAGCCTCTGAGGAATCGGTCACCACAGACAGACAGATGCTTAAGGGGAAAAAGCAGTCCACTACATACACACTAAGCAGGGAAACTACTGTTAACTGAAGAATCAGATGAAAAGTGGACTAAAATAAAATAAAAAGTTGAGAGACACTTCTGGAGACAAGGGAGTGCCAGGAAATGGAGCACATATAAGCAAGAGCACACATGGTCTTCTTTCCAAAGCAGGAAAAGGAACTTCTAAGAAGGAAAAATTAAATTGATTTTTTTTTTTTTGAGACAGGGTCACAGGTAGCCCAGGCTGGCCTTGAATACTATGTAGCTGAGAAAGACCTAGAACTTTGGATCCTCCTACCTCCACCATGCCACTATACCCGGTTTATGTGGTGCTGGGGATTGAACCCAGGGCCTTGCTCATGCCAGGCAAGCACCTTACAAAGAAGCCCTGTCCTCAGCTCTAAACTGCCATTTCTCAGTATTAAAATATCGATGCCCAGGAAGTGATGAGGAAACACCCGTGTTGCCAGGAGAAGACAGACAACGTGTTCCCTGCCTGTGGGGACCTACCTGTTTCACCTGGATGAACTTCAAGGGATAACGGCTTTTCACAGGTCCATTGGGACACAGGATGTCCAGAGCTTCAGTCACCGTCTTGAACTGAAGAGAAGCAAAAACAGACTCAGCGTGGTGTCCCCAGTGAGCAGGGTGGGGTAGGGTTGAGGGCGCTGGGGATCCCATTACTCTGAATTACCAAAGATACTGACCTAAGCCTCAACACTTGCTTCACAATCACCTTCGATTTCACTCCGCTCCTCCTCTTCCTCATTCTTTCCCTCTCCCCCACCCCCTTCTTTCTGAGACAGTCTCATGTGTCCCAGGCAGGGCTCAAATTTGCTATGTGACCAAGGATGACCTTGAACCCCCAAATGCTGGGGTTATGTAAACGTGCTACACACCCATCTTATTTCAGAATGCTGGGGTTCAAACTCAGGGCTTTCTGAAAGCCAAGCAGGCCCTCCACTAACTGAGCTAATGCATAGCCTTTATTTCTTACTATTTGTATCTTTTGCAGTGCTGGGGACTGAACCCAGAGTTTCCCACAAGGTGGACAAGCAAGATTTCTACCGCTGAGCTGCAGCCCCAGGCCCCGCTCTTAACATTATTTATTTATTTATTTATTTTGAGACAGGCTCTTACTATGTAGCCCTAGCTGTTCTGGAACTTGTTATGTAGATCAGGCTGGCCTCGAACTCAGAGATCCACCAGCCTCTGCCTCACTAGTGCCCTAACTGCTCCCAGCTCTTTCCTGTTTTCTCGTGTGTGTGTGTGTGTGTGTGTGTGTGTGTGTGTGTGTGTGTGTGTGTGTGTGGTGTGTGTTTTGCCTGCATGTGTGTCTGTGCACTGTGTGTGTGCAGTGCCCGAGGAGGCCAGAAGAGGGCGTTGGATCCTGGAACTGGAGTCACTCATGTAGGTGTTGGGAATGGAACCTGGCTCCTCTGGAACAGTAGTCAGATCTGGGCATGGTGGCACACACTTTTAATTCCAGAACTTGGGAGGCAGGCAAATGTGACTTTGAGGTCAGCCTGATTTAGATATTGAGACCCAGGACATCCAAGATGGCATAGACAAAACCTATCTCAAACAAAGCAAAACTAAACTTAAAAAAAAAAAAAAA